TGTGTGCTCCCAGAAGAGGACCTCTAGGCTTCCTTTCCTCTCTGCCCCTAAGGTACACTAGCAGCCTCTTATATGGCTGCAGGGTGGTGGTGTCCTGGAGGCCTGGGGTGAGTGGACAATCCCAGGCCTGGCCAGGGCAGCAGGGGTGGGGGGGACATGCACTGCACAAGGGGGCTTCTTACCCTGCTGCCAGAGCCATTGCCTCATGGCCAAGATTGCACTGACCCCAGAATGGGGGATATTCTGAGAGCCGGATAGTTCGCAGACCTAATGCCCAGCATCCAGAGCCCAAGTGGGTGGCTGCAGTCTGCGTTACCACTCCATGAAATTTGTTGAGTTGGAATAGATGCAAGATCATTTACTAAGGATGATTCTCCCAGGTCTGGAGGGGCACTCACCATCCAGAGCAAAGAGTCTATGGAAAGATGTGTAAGTTCACAAGCTAATGGCAGTGGAAGCAAATGGGCACTGAATCAGCACAGGCTGGACGGGGCCACAGAGAACATAAGACATGTGCCCCGGATCTGGCCAAGCAGTCCCTGCAGGGGGGAATGGGGGACGGCTCTCTAATGGCCTGAGGAGAGCAGGTGTTTTGAGCTATTGGCTGAATTAAGAGAAGAAAGTCCAGGAACAGGGTAAGTGAGAAGGTAAAATTCAGGGGCAGATATAAGGGGGGTCACTGAGTCCTATGTGCAAGAGATCAGGGTCAGGGTTGGCCACACTAGGACGCCAGCAGCCAGCTGGGGGGGAGATGGTGGAGGGCACCGCAGTGCACTGGGAGATCAGAGCCAGGGTAAATAACAGAGGAACTTTTGGGCTAGCCAGGGGGAGAACAGCAGGAGAGATGAAGTTGTCTGGGCAAGGCTTGTGGGACAGGGGCAGGTAGGTGTCTAACACTTGTTATCAGCACCCATTAGTAGCTGCTGTTCCCCACCCACTTGCTCTGTGCCTGTGGCTCTCATTTCTCCTCATAGCAGCCATTCTAAGTACTGTTGGCTCCCCCACTTTCCAGTGAGGAAACAGCCTCAGAGAGATCTGGTTAAGGTCAGACAAGTGCCAGAAAAAGGACTTGAACTTGGGTCTGCCTTATCTCACAGACTGTGCCCTATTTTCAAAAAGATGCTCAACATCACTAGTCATTAGCAATGTAAATTAAAACCACAGAAACATAACCACGTACCTTCTAGAGTAGCTACACCAGAATAACTAGTAATACCAAGGCCCTGGATGTGGAGCAAAAGGAGCACTCAAACACTCTGGTGGGAATGCAAAGTGATGCAAAACAGTTGGCCAGTTTCCTACAACATTAAACCCAACCAGCAGCTCAGCGGTGATCCCACCCCTGGGCATTTACCCTGGATCGATGAAGACAGGATCACACAAAAACCTGACGAAAATGCACCTAGCAGTTTCATTAGTCATTGCTCCAAACTGGAAGCACAGCTAGTCTTCAACTGGGAAACGGATAAACACTCTGTGGTGCATCGGCACAACAGAATATTACTCAGCCACAAAAAGGAACCAACCACATGCAACAACACAGATGAATCTCTGGGCAGTATGCCGAGTGAAGAAAGACAGCTCCAAAAGGCCACATACTGTATGATGCCATCCGCATGGCATTTCGGAAAAGTCAACTGCAGCGTTACAGAAGAGATCAGCAGTTGTCAGGGCTGGGCTGGGGGAGGGGATCAGCAGTTGTCAGGGCTGGGCTGGGGGAGGGGTTGACCACAAAGGTGATGAGGGAACATAAGGCAAGCTGAGGACAAAGCACAAGCTAGCGAACACCACCCCATTCTCCCCCACCCCATGAGATATGTGTGATGTTCCTCAGGCACTCCTGGCTGCCGTAAAGCTACGAGGCAAAAACAAATGGTTAACTGATGGAGATCACAGTCACATAGGACCTGAGTCTCCGTCAGTTTACAAATGTCTTAGTAAATTACAAGAAAAAGCCTATCTTATCAATAGCCTCATCTCCAGAAACCTATAGACTCAGTTTCCTGGAGCCCCAACATCACCCTCCCCTCCATAGTGTTGTGGGGAACAAAGACAAGAAGGAAATGGTAGGTAAAATTAAATTTCTTTATAACCTGTTGCTCATTGACTTAAGGCATATACAGAGTATAACATTTCTCCAGCAATTCCCTACTGTCTTTCTCTTTTTTAAGTTCATTTATTTATTTTGAGAGACAGAGAGAGAGAGAGAGGAAGAGAACAAGTCGGGGAGGGGCAGAGAGAGAGGGAGAGAATCCCAAGCAGGCACTGTCAGCATGCAGAGCCCTGTGTGGGGCAGAGAGCCTGATATGAGGCTGGAACTCTAGCCGGAGCCCAAGGCAGGACTCCAACTCACAAACCATGAGATCATGACCTCAACTGAAGTCAGCCACTTGCTTAACTGACTGAGCCACCCAGGTGCCCCAACTGCCCACTGTCTTAATGTTAATGTCGTACTAGAGGGAAAACAACCTTACCGGGACAATAGCAAAGCCTCCATTATCTTAGAAGCATATGAAAGTCCTTTTACAGGCCTCCCTTTTGCCTTTACCTCCCCCAACTCCATAGTATGTGATCAGTCACTCCTCACAACCCCAGTGAAGCCCTTTCTGCCCAGGGGTCCTGTCCCTGTGCTTCAATAAAAATCACCTTATTGCACCAAAGATGTCTCAAGAATTCTTTCTTGGCCATCGGCTCCAGACCCCCACCACTCCAAAACCTCATCAAAGGGATAGCAGGAGGGAATTTGGGGGGTGATGGAGCTGCTATGTGTCCTGATTGTGGCAGTGGTTATGGGACTGTATGCATTTGTCAAAGCTCCCGGGATTGTATGATAAAAAGAAAGAGTCTCACAGGTATAAATTACTAAGTACATGCCCTCACTCTGACTCAGCACTGCCTGCTGGAGAGAAAATTTGCACAGGGGGAGAAAGGCAGGCCTTCTAGGTGAGGAGACAGCTTGAACAAAGACAGAGATTTGGGGCAGGGGAGGGTGAGCCTGGAGTGGAGGCTTTGGGTGGGGGGACAGTGGGAGAGGAGGCAGGTGGGGACAGCTGTAGACATGTCCATTATCTGGCCAATGGCTCTGGCCTTCGGCCCACGTTTCAAGAAGACTGTAGCAAGGGCAGATGCTAGAAGCAGATGGGGTGATGGGTGGGATATGGCAGATCATGGGAAACCCCTCGACCCTTGCCTTGGCTCCCCAGTGCCCTCCCCTCCCCCACTGAGCTGCAGCCCACATGGCACCTCCAGCTAACCTCCCTCAACCACCTCCCCTCCCTGCCAACCCCAGTTCCTTGGTGCCGTCTGTGCGAGATAACATGGTAGAATCATGGAGGATGGTAAGAACCAGCCAATCAGGAATCAGTTGAGTAAACTTGCTACCAAAATTCTGGGACAGATTGTTGAGTAGGGGTGGATTATGGTGAGCCCTTAAAAATGAAGGCAATGACCCCTAGGAGCCTATGTGGGGTCCCTAAGAAAGACCTGTTGAATGCCCACATTTCCATATTTGCACAGGTGGCCATATTTGGCCATGTTTGCCAAGTGGCCAATGAAGGAAGTAGTTTGGCTGGCAACCATACTGACAGCAAGCGGGGACAATGTGTGTGAGTAGTGGAATGCTTAGGCCAGAATCTCTGTTGAGATCTAACCTAATGCACCTGTGGGACCTGACATCAGCTCAGTCCGAGGCTGAGTCTAAAATCTTAGTGAAGGGGCGCCTGGGTGGCTCAGTCAGTTAAGCTCCGACTTCAGCTTGGGTCACAATCTCACGGTTGGTGAGTCTGAGCCCTGTGTCGGGCTGTGCGCTGACAGTGCAGAGCCTGCTTGGGATTCTCTCTCTCTCCCTCTCTCTCTCTCTCTGCCCCTCCCCTATTTGTGCACTTGTGCTCTCTCAAAATAAATACATAAACTGAAAATAAAATAAAATAAAATCTTAATGGAGAGTTTAGATGGAGAACCAGACAATGAAGACATTCTCAGATTCCCTAACACTGGAATGGAAAGTTTATGAGTCAAAATTTCTTTCTAGATGGGGAAAGCTCTAAGGTTGAATTCCTTTTTTAAAAATATTTATTTATTTTGGGCAAAATGCCAGTGGGGGAGGGGCAGAGAGAGGGGTACAGAGGATCTGAAGCGGGCTCTAACGTTGACAGGTTGACAGCAGTCAGCCCTATGTGGGGCCCGAACTCAGGCACCATGAGATCATGACCTGAGCCAAAGTTGGAAGCTCAGCCCACTGAGCCACCCAGGTGCCCCAGAGGCTGAATTTCAATTCAGAGTGGTGATTGCTGTATTGCCTTGTCTTCTGTATTAACTGTATCAACCTTGTCTTCTATTTTCTACATTCTGATGCTCTGACATCTGGGGCCTTGCTGACCCTGGGAGGAACTGTGTCTCCCAGGGATAGCCAGTTCCTAGAGATAGCAAACAACTCACCCAGGATTGCGCTTTTCAAATGCAAACCAACTAATACAGAGCCTACACTCCAACCACCTCCAGTGCTGGCTCTAGCACTTAGGGCCACACTATTTCCTTGCCCTGATCACCCTATTACCTGGGGCAGTCCCTATGCCCCAGAGCCTGCTGACATTATGCAAACTAGCTAATCCTAAAGATTTCCCCGCCGCACCCATTCCTTCCAGGGAAAACCATAACCAAAACTCCCGCCCAGTTCCTCTCCCCCTCTACCTCACGAGGAACCCTGACGTTTATTCCATTTGTCGATTTCTCCATGTGGCTTTCTGTGGCTTGGCATCTCCATCTCCTCCTCTTGGGAACTGTGAGTAATAAATTATCTTTTCAAGAACGGCAATTGTTTCCAGATCTGTTGGTCTTACTATACCTCAAGTGTTAGAACAGTAACTCATGACTTGGTATTGGCTCATAGAAAAGAGCCTAGAGTTTTCACTGAGCCTGAGGTCCCAGGAGGATAGAGTGTTTTGGTTGCTTTGCTGTGGCTGTCTGGCCACCGGGACATGGTCCCAGCAGTGACACGGTCCTTATACGCTGACCCACTGTGACAGATGGGCTGGGAGCAGCAGTTGTAGGATTCCCATCCCTGGGGAGGTTGGAGGGGGTCTGGCCAGGTAAGGCTGTGAATTCACTGTGGACCCAGAGATCAAAGGGGAGGCTGTGGGAGCCACAAGGTTTGCCCAGGATCTCTCCGTCTTCTCCACAAAGCTTTGGTCAGTGAGCAGCACCTCCACAGTGGAGTTGATGTGTTTGGAATGAACTAGGCTATAAGTGTTAAACCTCAAGACATCTGCATTGAGGGACAGGGAGACCTGCATTCAGACAGGGTGACCCACCCAGGACCTCATCCTCCATGGTGTAAATCCTTGTACCAGGACCCAGACCAGGGAGCCATTGTCATGCCTGAGAGCCTGAAGCCGGCTATACATTGTGTCTACCGGAGCCAGGGGCCCCCACGTGGCAAAGCCTGGATGCACCTTGAGGCGCCTGCCTCCAGCCCCCCAGCTCCTAGTGGAGCTGTTTGCTGCCAATACTGACAGATGCCAGCCTCGAGGCAGGCGAGGCTCCCATCCTCAGGTACCAGGTGGGCTTTGTAGCGCCGGATGAGGAGCACCTCCACCATCTCCCCCGCCCGCTTCCACTCACACGTCTTGGTCTTCAGGAAAACCCCGAAGCCGATGTCTGCCCCATGTGATGCGAACTGCCACCTGCAGGGGACAGGGCCCTACTAATGACCACCAGCTGGGGCTCCGGGGCCGCTCCCAGCTGGGCCCAGGTGTGGAGTGGCCGCCATCCCTACCTGAGCACACAGCCCGGGAACAGGATTTCGTTCTCCACCTGCACGAAGGAGCCTCGGGCCACGGTCATCTTGTGCTCATACTGCATCCTCACCTGGTTGCGCAGGTAGTAGCTCTTGGGCACCTCACCCCCATAGTTGATCTGTGGGTGAGGGCTGCTGAGTGAGCACTGACCCCAGCCATCAGCCCTCCCTTCTCACCCTCTGGGCACCCGGTACCTTGGTCAGACACTTGGGGTTGCCATCAGGATCAGTCATGGTCCCCCCAAACTCCATGGGCAGCTGCTCAGGGCTGATGAACTTTGGCAGCTCCTGCTTCCATTGCCTGTGGGAGGAGGAGAGGGGACCTGTGGGGTCTCAGAAAGGCTTGAAAGAGGCAAGAGACGCCAAGCCCAGTGCTTTCCTGTGGCATACTGCTTCCTAACCCTGGCATGCTTCTGGTGCCCCTAGGGGAAGAAGCTAAGAGACTGTAAATCTAGGCTGGGGGTTTACTATATGCACCTGTGTTGACCAGTTCCTGCCCCCAGGTCTGCCCCTCTAGACCCAGTACCCTGCCCTCATCTGTCCAGGTGTTGGCCCCTTGGCCATCTTAGTAGGGACTCAGACTAGCACCTCATGGAACCCAAAGCCGAGGAGGGGCTATCTCTGACCTGGGCTTCCTTTCCCTTAGAGACTGAACTTCCAATCAGCCTCTCCCCTCAGCATCTACAGCTCCAGCACCCCCAGAACTGGGGGCAAGCTTGTGTCAGCTCTCCCACAAGCTGCTCTGAGATAGCCAATGGTGGTCCATAGACAAAGGAAATGTTATTGTAGGAACAAAGTAGAAGAAAGCAGAGGTAGGGTCACCTGGGTGGCACAGTCAGTTAAGCATCTGACTCTTGATTTCGGCTCAGGTCATCATCTCATGGTTCATGAGTTCAAGTCCCACACTGGGCACCTTGCTGACAGTTCAGAGCCTGCTTGGGATTCTCTCTCTCTCCCTCCCTCTCTGCCCCTCCCTCATGCTCATGTGGTCTCTCTCTCTCAAAACAAACAAACTTAAAAAAAAAAGCAGAGGAAAATATCTAACATATCCTACAATAGGTATGAACTACTGAAACATAAAAGCAATGGAGAAACCAAAGGAAAAGCCCCATGAATGTAACATAACACAAAGTCAAAAGCCAAAGATAGCAGGAAAACTACAAACTGGGGAACATGCCACAAATATGACAGAAAAGGTCAATGCACTTAATATGTAAAGAGCACTTATAAATCAATAGCAAAAATACTTTTCTAGAAAATGGGCAAGAGATACCAGGAGGCAATAAATAAACAAAAAATTAAAACATCAATTAGCATTAAGAAAAATTCTTACCACACCAGTGATAAAAGAAACCCAATGCAGTCCCTTAGATTCAGAGCAAGAATGTCATCACACATCATGTAGCCTCTGGGAAACTCTGGTGTATATACTGAGAGGATGAGAGTGAAAAAGGCAAATAACATCTAGATATTATTATGAAAATAGTTTAGACCTTGAGGGCCCCCTGAAAGGGTCTTGGGAGCCCTCAGGGTTCCAGGACCACACTTTGAGAACTACTGGTTCAGACTGTGAATGACTTAAAATACATAAGGAGGAGGGACACCTGGGTAGTTCAGTTGGTTAAGGGTCTGACTCTTGATTTTGGCTCAGGTCATGATCTCATGGTTCATGTGATCGAGCCCCGCGCTGGACTCTGCGTTGACAGCAACACAGATCTTGCTTGGGATTCTCTCTTTCCCTCTCTCTCTGCCCCTCCCCTACTTGTGCATGCACACACACTCTCTCTCTAAAATTAATAAATAAACTTAAAAAACCATAAGGTGGATAACCCAAAAGGTCACATCTCCACACTGTCACCAACCTGTGACTTTGAGCCATTCCCTTCTCTGTTAGAGTTCAGTTTTCTTGCCTCTCAGTTAAGGCAGCCCATGACCCAGTGGCCCCACCTCTTGAGATCCACCTGAGAAAAACACTCACACATTTGTGTAAGGAAAGTGTGTAGGTTTTCCACATTGAAGAGTTCGTAATAATGAAACATTGGAAACGACCTGAATGTCCACCCCTAGTGGGCTGGTTATGTAAATGCTGACCCCTCTACCCTGTGAAATACTATACAATCATTAAAAAGGACAAGGTGTATTAAAACATTCTCGGACAAAAAAAAAAAAAGAAAAAGAAAAAAAAACATTCTCGGACAAATCTGCAAGCCATATGTATTATCTAATAAAAAGAGCAAGTTGCAGAATAATTCTTATAATATATTAAGTCATGTGTTCTTGGTATTTCTATTTTATTATATTGTTGATATTCTATCTATACTCTTAAAAAATCTTTTAATGTTTATTTATTTTTTTTTGAAAGAGAGATAGAGTGCGAGTGGGGGAGGGGCAGAGAGAGAGGGAGACACAGATTAGAGGCAGGCTCCAGGCTCCGAGCTGTCAGCACAGAGCCTGACACGGAACTCAAACTCACGAACCACGAGATCATGACCTGGGCTGAAATCAGACGCTTAACCAACTGAACCACCCAGGTACTCCTATTCTATATTATATTTTGTATATTTATATGCATATTTCTGTGTGTATGCATGGAAATGTATTGAAAAGAGTCTGCAAGATACACAGAAACTGGTGACAATGGTTATTTTGGGGGGCTCAGGAGGCTTCAATGTTATCAGAAAGGTTTGGATTTTTTATAATGAGAATATTTTCAGATATCCCCTGTATAAACTTTATTTTTTTAAAAATGGTTTTTTTAAATGTTTATTTTTGACAGAGAGACAGAGCATGAGTGGGGAGGGGCAGAGAGAGAGGGAGACACAGAATCCGAAGCAGGCTCCAGGCTCTGAGCTGGCAGCACAGAGCCCGACGCAGGGCTCGAACTCACAGACTGCGAGATCATGACCTGAGCCGAAGTCGGACGCTCAACCAACTGAGCCACCCAGGCGCCCCATAAACTTAAAAAAAATAATAATAACGTGACAATAGAGCACTTCACCATTGCCAGCCACTCTTCAGTCGTCAAATTTATAATTCAAGAGGTTCATGGAGCAGATGGAACCAGTTCTGTCCCACTGAAAGTCGGGCTTCCAGGAAGGGAGCATTTAAAAAATTTTTTTTTCAACGTTTATTTATTTTTGGGACAGAGAGAGACAGAGCATGAACAGGGGAGGGGCAGAGAGAGAGGGAGACACAGGATCGGAAACAGGCTCCAGGCTCTGAGCCATCAGCCCAGAGCCCGACGCGGGGCTCGAACTCACGGACCGCGAGATCGTGACCTGGCTGAAGTCGGACGCTTAACCGACTGCGCCACCCAGGCGCCCCAAGGGAGCATTTAAATCAATCACATAGAGTCACCCACTGGAACATTCTGCAGCCTTATAACTATACTAGAGAAGAAATATTTTTTAAGATTAAAAAAAAGGTTTTTTTTTAAGAGAGAGAGAGACAAGTGGAGGAGAGGCAGGGAAGATGGCGGCGTAGGAGGACGCTGGGCTCACCGCGCGTCCTGCTGATCACTTAGATTCCACCTACACCTGCCTAAATAACCCAGAAAACCACCAGAGGATTAGCAGAACAGAGTCGCCGGAGCCAAGCGCAGACGAGAGGCCCACGGAAGAGGGTAGGAAGGGCGGCGAGGCGGTGCGCGCTCCACGGACTGGCGGGAGGGAGCCGGGGCGGAGGGGCGGCTCGCCGGCCAAGCAGAGCCCCCAAGTCTGGCTTGCAAAAAGCGGAGGGGCCTGACGGACTGTGTTCCGACAGCAAGCGCGACTTAGCGGCTGGGAGGTCATAAGTTAACAGCTCTGTTCAGAAAGCGGGAAGGCTGGAGGACAAAGGGAAGGAAAGCTGCTGAGCCCCCGGACGACAGAGCTCAGTTTGGTGGGGAACAAAGGCGCTCGCCAGCGCCATCTTCCCCGCCCATCCCCCAGCCAAAATCCCAAAGAGAACCAGTTCCCGCCAGGGAACTTGCTCGCTCCGCGCAAACACCCAACTCTGCGCTTCTGCGGAGCCAAACCTCTGGCAGCGGATCTGACTCCCTGCTGCTGCCACAGGGCCCCTCCTGAAGTGGATCACCTAAGGAGAAGCAAGCTAAGCCTGCCCCTCCTGCCCCTGGGCACCTTGCCTACCCACCCCAGCTAAGACGCCAGATCCCCAGCATCACAAGCCTGGCAGTGTGCAAGTAGCCCAGACAGGCCACCCCACCCCACAGTGAATCCCGCCCCTAGGAGAGGGGAAGAGAAGGCACGCACCAGTCTGACTGTGGCCCCAGCGGTGGGCTGGGGGCAGACATCAGGTCTGACTGCGGCTCCGCCCACCAACTCCAGTTATACACCACAGCACAGGGGAAGTGCCCTGCAGGTCCTCACCACGCCAGGGACTATCCAAAATGACCAAGCGGAAGAATTCCCCTCAGAAGAATCTCCAGGAAATAACAACAGCTAATGAGCTGATCAAAAAGGATTTAAATAATATAACAGAAAGTGAATTTAGAATAATAGTCATAAAATTAATTGCTGGGCTTGAAAACAGTATAGCTGACAGCAGAGAATCTCTTGCTACAGAGATCAAGGGACTAAGGAACAGTCACGAGGAGCTGAAAAACGCTTTAAATGAAATGCATAACAAAATGGAAACCACCACGGCTCGGATTGAAGAGGCAGAGGAGAGAATAGGTGAACTAGAAGATAAAGTTATGGAAAAAGAGGAAGCTGAGAAAAAGAGAGATAAAAAAATCCAGGAGTATGAGGGGAAAATTAGAGAACTAAGTGATACACTAAAAAGAAATAATATACGCATCATTGGTATCCCAGAGGAGGAAGAGAGAGGGAAAGGTGCTGAAGGGGTACTTGAAGAAATAATAGCTGAGAACTTCCCTGAAGTGGGGAAGGAAAAAGGCATTGAAATCCAAGAGGCACAGAGAACTCCCTTCAGACGTAACTTGAATCGATCTTCTGCACGACATATCATAGTGAAACTGGCAAAATACAAGGATAAAGAGAAAATTCTGAAAGCAGCAAGGGGTAAACGTGCCCTCACATATAAAGGGAGACCTATAAGACTCGTGACTGATCTCTCTTTTGAAACTTGGCAGGCCAGAAAGAGTTGGCACGAGATTTTCAGTTTGCTAGACAGAAAAAATATGCAGCCGAGAATCCTTTATCCAGCAAGCCTGTCATTTAGAATAGAAGGAGAGATAAAGGTCTTCCCAAACAAACAAAAACTGAAGGAATTTGTCACCACTAAACCAGCCCTACAAGAGATCCTAAGGGGGACCCTGTGAGACAAAGTACCAGAGACGTCACTACAAGCATAAAACATACAGACATCACAATGACTCTAAACCCATATCTTTCTATAATAACACTGAATGTAAATGGATTAAATGCGCCAACCAAAAGACATAGGGTATCAGAATGGATAAAAAAACAAGACCCATCTATTTGCTGTCTACAAGAGACTCATTTTAGACCTGAGGACACCTTTCGATTGAGAGTGAGGGGATGGAGAACTATTTATCATGCTACTGGAAGCCAAAAGAAAGCTGGAGTAGCCATACTTATATC